AAGTCTCGATGTGGAAGGGCTAACTGTAGTCATGACCCCTGTGCTCTGTGATTGAAGCCAGCCTACTGGGATGTCCTCCTTTTCCTTAATGGACTTTAATCCTAAATTCCCTCCCAATGATTCAGAGCCAAGGTCTTGGGACCAGTAAGGGCTTCCTAAAGTGATGGCACTAGAAGGTGCTCAAACACACAGTTTGAACATGAAAGGGAAGAAGTCCAAGCCTTACTGCTCCCTTTTAGCCTCTCCCAACCCCTGCAGGCAGGGAGCAGTGCCTGTTGGCCTCAGGAGGGAAGAAGCTGTGGCTTCTTGGAAGGAGATGAAGGAAGCAGCCATGATTATAGTGGAAAGGCCTTGGAATGAGGAATGATGATTTTAGTCATAGCTCTGCCACTAACTAGCAAGTCAGTTCCCATTTCTGGGCCTCAGTTTTCATATCTGCAAAATGATGGGGTTGGATTGGCTGTCTTCCAAGGCCCCTTCCAGGTCTAATATTCTTTGATCCTATGAAGTGGTCAAGGAGGCAAAACAGGGTAGCTTAGAAGCCTTCACCTCAGATGCGTCAGAAGAATGCATAAAAAATTAGCTCCAAAGAATACAGGATTTGGATCCTGAAAGAGCCCAAGCTAGGAAGATTAGGAGACAAGAACTTCAAGGGCATCTCTAGAACTAAAAAAGGCCTTTTCCCCCTGGGCAGTCTTCTTGTCCCTCTCCATCTTCCTCCAGCCCCTCTCACCTGCTCTTTATGGAAAGGTCTCCCTCTACCCTCAGTACTAGCCTCTTCCTTCCCATCTCCCACCGCCTAGCCTGACTTTTCCTATTGCTACAAGTTATGCTTCCTGTCCCAGCTTTGCGAAGCAGGTGCTCATACCCTTCCTAGCCTTTATCCACCAGCAATCACCTGTGGCAGAAAAGTTACTTTAGGGACTGTAGGCAGCACAGTGCAGTGAGCAGCCTACATTTGTATGGCACTTTGAGGTTTACATGTTTCTCCTTGGTCACTGCAGATGCCATTGGAGAAAGCAGGGCGAGGATCTGGGACTCTAGGCTTTGCTACTAATAGTGTGACTCTGGGTAAATGCCCCTAGCCTGAGACTCAGTTGCTTCATTTGTTAAATAATAGTAACACTTGCCTGAAAGCAGCAGGTTAGACCAGATGATATGTTTCACACCTAAATGGACCCCTCCTTTTACAAATATGGAAGCTAAAGGCCAGAAGGAAAAAAAGGGAGTTGCAGGTCACATGGATAGTTAGTAGCTGAGGCAGGATTCAAACACAGGTCCTCTGACTCTAAGTGCAGTGCAGAACTAGTTGTAACCCCTGTGGTTTGAGATGGGAGACAGCCTGAGATGCCCTCCCTTTTTCTTAATGGACTTTAATCCCAAATTCCCTCCCAGTGACTCAGGGCCAAGGTCTGGGGACCAGTTAGGTTGCTTAGCACAATGCCTAGCACATAGTAGGCACTCTATAAAAGCTGTCTCACCTTCCCTTCCCTTCTTCCTGTCTTGCACTTATCCATTTCCTCACTCCCTTCTTGCTCCAAGCTCTATGATGATATTAAATGTTAACATCCCACTTTGGGTCTCCCTAGGTTCAAGTTGTCCCTTCCCTCCTCACAAGGGTCTTCTTGTCTCTGGCCCAGATTGGTTAAAGTCAGTCTATGGTTGTGTTCTCTGGGTTGATGCTTCAACTTTCAGATTATGACAGACCAGATAATAGTCTCATAATTGTGTGCTGGGAAGTGAAGGGGAGGTGAAGTTTCAGTTCTTGGAAAGCCATCCACTCTGAAAGGTAATAGTTCCAATACACTGATGCCAGGGAAGTTGATGAGGGGCTTCTGAGAACTGAAGTGAGAAATTCCCTAGAGGTCAGAAGATCCATCCCTATACTACTTAAATTTTTCCTTCAGTACCTCACATAGGTAATGACCTGGACAAAATGTGGCAAAGAGCATTAATTAAAATGTCAGAAGACCTGAGCTTGAGCTCAATTGGGTGACTTTGGTCAAGACATTTAGCCTCAGTTTCCTTTTCTATAAAATAGGGCTAATATTGGTACTATCCACTTCATTGTATTGCTATGAGGTATTATTCCACAGATATTGGCAGTGATGTGGTGGGAGGGGCTCATGTGGGACTAAAAACCTATAATGGGGCTAGAGGTGTGGAGTTAGAAGGGGATGATGGAGATGAAAGAGTAGAGAGATCTTTTATCTAAGCAGTACCCTTTCCCATCCCCCTCTGACCCTCAATGACAGTGAAGGGCTTCATCCAGAACTGGGGCTTCATTTGAACTGTTCTGTTCTTCCTTATACATTTAGCATGGAACTGGACTGAGACTGGGCATTTTCCTTTCTTCTTATTGGTTGGTAGTCTCTCTCTCTTTGGTTCCTGAGGATAGGGTAGTGGTAGTGGGTTGATCCCAGAAGAACTCCAATTAGTGGTTACTCCCCTAATGAGGCAGCAGCCATTTCTGGAAAAATGCCTCTTCCAGAGCCCAAGCCTTTATATCAAATTATGCTTCTAATGGTAGGCAGGTGGTTTGGTAACCAGAGATCAGAGGGAGGGATGGCCTCCAGTTCCTTTGGCTGGTGATAGAATAAAATGGGACTGAGAAACCTGGCTCCTAGCTCCACTGCATCCGGCAGCTAGAAAGCAGGTAGAGAGAAGTGGATGAAATGCAAACAACCAATAAGGCCTCAGCATCTCCTCTCCAGGACCCTGGATATCCCACCCCTACTCCCATAAAAAGGGAATATCCCAGCCCAAACTTTCCTTACTTGAGCACTTTGGGAAAGGCAGCCTGTAGAAAAGGTCACTCCATCAATCATTCAGAGAAAGAGGCAGACAATGAACAATGGGGAAAACCAATGTGATTTCACCCCGTCTTTCCCAAGTGGATGTGACACCTTGGTTGGTGTTCTGAGCTCCCATCTTTCAGTCTATGAAGGATAAATGAGATCTCTAGCCATCCTTAGGCTGACCCCAACTTCCTTCTCCAAGGCAGCTGTTTACCCGTGGGCAATGGTTGAGAGAATGGTTGAATCCCTTATAACTGTTTTTGGAAGGTTGGGGTGGATGAGTAATTTTCAGAATGTTTATCTGTTAACCATATTTTTGCCCTCTCCTCACCCCCAAATAGCAGAATGGAGGGGAAAAAAGCCAGGATCCTTAGAGACTAGAATCCCTAGAACTCCATCTCCTATGGTTAGATTCCCAGATCCTTTTTTTCAGGTGCTTATTGCTCTATCTTCTTAGATCCTCTTATCTGTCTGTATATTTAAGGCCTGCAGGAGGGGAGAATGGGGAGAAAATAGCAATGGAATAAGCCAATGCTTAGTTTTGGAGGATCCCAGACTTCATGACCTTGTTCTAATGCTCCAGTACCTGGTTCAACCACTGAGCAGACTGGCCTTGTAAATCTTAGGTTCTCCAATTTGTACCTTCTCATATGCTGGGAAATCTCTGCTTTGTTCCTCCTTTCCTCCCCCTCCTAGGAAAAAGTGATTAGGACTGATTCAATCTTCTTCCCAGCCCTGGATAGCTTTTGGTCTCAGGATGGATTCCCTTCCCTTTCGTGGGAAGTTCTCATATGAAAAAAGTTAAAAAAGAAAGGAAGCAGGGCAGTCAGTGATCTGTGCTCCTGTGCAAGGGTGTAGGGACAGCCCCACAAGTTCATGCCTACTTGTTCCCAATCCTTTGGCCCCAGTCTGTCTTACTGCCAGGAATGGAGAGCCTGAGGAGGGAAGTGAGAAGGAATTCCTCTAGAGGACGATTGAGAGCAGTCTGAAACTTAATGCACGTGTCTAGGACTAAGATGAGAGGAAAGGAGCAGTAGGGGGCCCAGGCCCCCCGTACAGTAGCCTATTTGTCCTCCCTGGGTTGCCTAGTGGGCTGGAAGGCCTGTTTATGAGAAATTTTCCCATGGAGTGCTGGAAACTGTGGATATCTGGAGAGATTCAATTTCAGTATTTTTTCCTTTTAGGCTCAAGAATACCAGGACCTCTTTTATCCCACCTGGGGAGAGAAGCAGTATTCACAACCACCTCCCGCCCTGACACGGTCTTTTCACTGGGGTCCACAGCAGCCCCCTTCCCCTGCTTTATTGACACCGCTATTATATAACAGTGGGTTATTCAACAAATGTTCCTGTTCACATTTGGTCCTAAGAAGTCAATCAGATAAATAAAGATACCAAAAAGCAACTTGGGCTCATTACAAACAATACAGAAACTGAACGGAAAGATAATTGCAGCAATTTGCTCATCCCACATCCTTCCCCTTGCCCAACCTCCCATCCCACCAGCTACCCCTGCCCCTCCCGGAGTCAAGCTGCTGACTGTTTTATGGTTTGCTAGTCTCTTCTAGGCTCTCAGGTTGGTTTAATTAGAAACAGGCTGGGAAATGCTTCCCATACAGTGGCATGTTGCATTTGCAATGTTAATTGCTTATCAGAGAAGAAGGGGTGACAATGTTTAATGATGGAAATTTCCTCTGCCTCCCTCCCTTTCTCTTACCCCATCTCTGCCTCTCAGCTTTGTTTTCTTTCCCCCAGGTTTTCTTTCTCCCTGTACTGTTCCTCAGGAGCCAAAAGCTCCTTGTACATTTCCAGGGATCTAGGGGGGTTTACTGGCACATGAGCAGAGGTGTTTAGAGTATCAAATTTGGGAAAGTGAAATGAAAAACCAATCCTTCTATCTCCATTCCTTCCTCCCTGTCTCATCTCAGCCTTCTCTGTCCTGGTTTTGAAGAGGTGATTTCTGAACAGGGAATTATCTAGCTATACACTGCAATACAAAGGATTTTCTCTCCTCTTTCTGCTATCCTTTCTTCTTCCTTTTTTCCTTCCTCCTCCCTCCCATTTTTTTCTCACCTCCCACTCCTTTTCTTTCTCTTTCTCTTCCTTCCTTCCTTCCTTCCTTCCTTCCTTCCTTCCTTCCTTCCTTCCTTCCTTCCTTCCTTCCTTCCTTCCTTCCTTCCTTCCTTCCTTCCTTCTTTCTTTCCCTCCCTCCCTTCCCACCCTTCTTCCTCCCCCTTTCCAAGTCAGGAGAAGAGAGCGAATTGGAGAAATGGGAGACAATGTCATGTTTCTCCATAAAGGTACAAAGCTGTTTGCAGAGTCAGCTCCAGTGACCTAGTCCCTCCGGCATCTGGGTGATAAGGGTCCCCCACAGTGCACTGGGTAGCTCCTTCCTCTCCGTGTCCCCCAGATGCAAGGTATTCCCTTCCCCTTCAGAGAGAGCTCCTTCGGGGCAGAAGGAGATACTAGCCCTAGCTAGGGCTAGGAGGGGTAAGAGCAGGCAAGTGAAACTGTACATAGAGGAGAAAAGAAAGGCTAGGCTCCCTGGGGGGGATGGGGTAGGGCCAAGGGCCCAGGATCCAAGCTGAGTTTAAAGGGGCTCCCAGATAAATGGGGTAACAGGCTGGGATGGAGGTGGGGGGAAGGTTAATAGCCAGAGCACTTCCTGCTCCTGGAAAGTGTCCTCATGAAGGCAGCAGGGAGGTCCCACAGAGGACCGGTGGCAGTGTTTTAAGGGGCAGGACACTGAGGGGGTCCAGGCCGTCCATGTCCAGCTGCCATGCCATAAGGATGTGGGTCTATGTCACCTTTACAGTGGGATGTCTGGTCCAGCCCTCTTCCCTTTTGGTAAAAAATAGTCTTAGTTATTCCCCTACCCCCAAGAGTAAGATGAACTTCAGGAATCATAGAGCATTACCGGTGAAACCATCTCCCCTTCTGCAAGTTTTGTGGGCTTCCTCCCTGGATTCCAATGCTTGATAAAGGGGGGTGATACCACTCGGACAGAAGGGGTGCTGCGGCCGCAAGGGGCCCAGGATGGGAGGAGAGGCTTTTCACCCACCGGCCCACTTGGTTTAGTAGGGCAAAGGCCACAGTGAATGGCCAGCCCAGCAGCTAGCAGTAGGGCGGTAAGCCCCAAGGCGGCAAGAACCCCTACATGGCTCCCCAGGGCCCCACGGTGGGGGATGGCTTCCTTAGTCCTAGCCCAGATGCAGGCCACCTGGGTGTGGGCGTCAGCAAAGGCCAGCTGCAGGCAGGCCCAGTACTCAGTGGCTTGGAGGAGGCGGGTGATATTGTAGCTGTGGGTACCCCCAGGCAGGCGAGCAAGGGCGGTGGTTCCTGGCCCTCGGAGGGAAGAGGAGCTGGACCAGGTAAGGTTGGTGGAGATGGTGTTGGGGAGGGGCTCCCAGCACAGCAGGATATGATATGGGTAGACTTCCTGAACCCTCAGTTCCAGCTCCCGCTCCTGGATACTCCCTCTGGGGAGGGAGCTGCCAACCGCCAGGCTGACTGATTTGGCGTCAGCTCCCACCAGGTTCTGGGCCACACAGGTATAGAGCCCAGCCTCACCTTCAGTAACCTCTCGGATCTCCAGTGTTCCCTCCGGGTATACCCGATACCTTCCCCCTGCCCGGGCGGCAGTCAGCCGCACCCCAGCCGGAGTCACCCAGTAGATTTCAGGCTCTGGCTCAGCCAGGGCCCGGCAGTGGAGGGCCAGGTTCCCCCCACTGGCCACCTGCAGGCTTGGGGGGAAGCTCCGAGGAGAGATTAGGGGCAGGCAATGGTTGGTCATCTCCCGGAAGGGCACGTCACGCACAGGGCAGTGCTGGAGATCGGGCGGCTCAGCGCACAACGTAGACTGCGGTTCGATGAAGCGGACGTGGGTGTCCGTGGTGTTGGCCCAACGGATAACACAGTCACAGCGGATAGGGTTGCCGTGGAGACCGATTTCCTGTAGGTTGGGCAGGGATTCCACTGTCTGCTGGTGCAAGGCACTAAGGGCATTGTTGTTGAGCATGAGGGTTTCCATCTGGGGCAGGTGGCGGAAGGCGCGGGGGTGGACAAAAGAAAGCCGGGGGTTATTGGTGATGTCCAGCTTGGTGAGCTCTGGGAGATTGACGAGGGCAAATTTGTCTATGGAGACCAGCTCCTCCATGTTGTTCAGCCCGAGCTCTTTGAGGTGCAACATGTTGGTGAAGTCCCCCGGCCCCACCCTCTGCAGCGGGTTCTTATTCAGGTCCAGGAACTTGAGCCCAGGCACATGCTCCAGCGCCCTTTTAGGCACTCGGGCCAGCTTGTTGTCATAAAAAGAGAGGCTCTCCAGGCTCCGCAGACCCTCCAGGGCGTAATCGGAGATCTCCTGCAGGTTCATGGCCGCCAGCACCAGGCTGCGCAGGTTGGCCAGAGGCCGAAAATTCATGTCCAAGATGGCGTCCACCTTGTTGCCCCCTATCATGAGGACCTCTAGGCTCGGCAGGACCTGGAACCATCGACTGTCCACAGCCTGCAGCAGGTTGGAATTGAGGTGAAGTCGCAGGAGGTTGCCCAGCCCTGCGAAGGCCCCAGGGGAGATTCTGCGAAGCTGGTTATGGTTGAGATAGAGCTCTTGAAGGTTTGCTAGCCCCATAAAGCTGTTGTCCTCCAGCTGGGTCAGCTGGTTCTCCTCCAGGTGAAGGCTCAGTAGCTGGGGCAGGGCCCGAAGGCCAAAGTCATGGGCATCAGAAAAGCTGTTTTGGGACAGGTCAAGCTCAGTCAGGTTGGCCAGGTAGTCAAGCTCATTCTGCTCCACCCGAGCTATGTTGTTACTCTGCAGGAGGAGGGTCTGGGTGCCAATGGGCAGTCCTGGGGGCACAGAGGATAAGAACAGGTCATTGCAATCCACTGTTGTAGCCTCCCGGTACACGGAGCGGGGTGTGTACCAGGGCCGGATCTGGCAGGTGCACTGGGGTGGGCATGGTACCCTCCAGGGTACCACAGGGACAGCAGCAGCAGCCCCTGCTACCCAGGCCAGTAGCAGGTAAACCAGAAGGAGCCACATGTTGGGACTGCAGGGAGGATGCTTGCTGGCGTCTACGTGGATGCCCTTCCTCTTCTACTTTCTATGGATCACTAATGGCCTGATCAGTGGCCCACTGGTGGGCAGGGGCACCTTCCTCTAGGGGAGATCATGCTATTCAGGGATGGGCAGCGTGGGCGAGGCGGGGGGTGCGTCCTTCACCAGGGGAAGTTATTGTTCCTTGTCTTCCTCTGACGGAGCTCTGGTTCATTCATCACTGCCCCCTGTCAAGGGGCCACCTGTGGGCATCCCTGAAAGAGAAGAACAGCACCATTAGAAGAAAGGCCTGGAAACAGGAGTTATTTCTTCAGTCACTCTCATTCTTCCCCACTGGCCCAGGGGCCTTCGTGGGGCTCACAGCTGGGAATCCTAGGTTTGGATGCCCGGCCCACCAGGGCACTGCCCTGGCTTTCCTTTCAGAGCGGTGACTCTAGGGCTATGGGCAGGATGAAAGCAGGAGGCTGAGTCTTCGAATTCTGTGAACTTCTCTGAGAGAAGTGATGAGGGGGCAGAAGACAGGCTGTTGTTACTACTGCCTCTGTCATGAGAATTATCTCCACGTTCCTAGAGAGCAGGAAAATGAAGGCAAGCGGCTTCTCTCCCTCTCCTTCCTGCTAGACTTCTCTCTCAGCCCTTGTCCCATGTTGAATTAAGTGGAGACCCTGAGGTCCCAACACTCCAACTTGGAATGAGCTCCTGGGGAGGGGGCTGAATGTTAGGACTGGGTTAGGATCATGGGGTTTAGAGCTGGAAGGGACCTTAGAGAGAATCCAATTACAGGACACAGATCTGAAGTGAGAACAATTCTTCTAGGTCACATAGGCAGAACTCCTTAATTTTACTTAATAATTATTATAATTTAAGGTTTGCAAAGTGCTTTACAAATATCTCATTTGATCCTCACAATAACCCTGGGAGGTAAATGCTGTTATTATCATACCCATTTTACCAATGAGAAAACTGAGGCAGGCACTGGTAAAGTGACTTGTCCAGGGTCACAGAGTTATTAAGTCTATGAGGCCAGACTTGAACTCATCTTCCTGACCCAGGGCCAGAGATCTGTCCAGTAGATCATCTAGGCCTAGGAAGGTGTTACAACTCCCCCCAATGTCACTCAGGTAATAGGGAGACAGAGCTGAAATTTGAATCCCATTCTTCATTATTCCAAATCCAGAATTATTTCCTGTGGGCCATGCTACTTCTAGTCTAACCCCTTCATTTTACAGATGAAGAAACTGAGGTCTGGATAGTTAATGACTCAACTCAAGGTCACACGGGCAACAAGTAGCAAAGCCAGAATTCCAACCCAGGGCTTCTGACCCTGAATTCAGTGACTGCTGTCACTGCTTTTCATGGATTCTTTAGAAGGGCAGCCTCCAAGCCCAGTCCATCCACAGGTGCATGGGGAAAACCTCTGCCTAGGTAAGAGAGGGGATACCCATTGAGGCACTGTGCTCCTTCCCTCTTTGGATTCACCATTTATAGATTCCTGGAATCTTCCTAAAACACAAATTTAACTGTGTCACTCTCCTACTTAAGAAACACCCATGTTTCCCTATTTCCCCTAGGGTAAAATACAAATTTTTCAGCTGGGCATTTAAAGCCCCTATGAAATCTGGCTATGGATTACGTATTTATTGCTCATTATTCTCCTCCATCATCCTCCACATCTGTGGAATTGAACTGTTTATGCTGACTCCTAATTGGAACCTGGTTGATACCATTTGTATGGTAGGGTCTTAGCATGGGATAAGATCGGAGTAAGTCTAGCTTAGAGAAGGTAGGACTTCTAGTTTGAGATTCTGGGATTCATAACTCTTTATTTCATTTTGTATAGGCTAGCAAGCTTTTCTCTTCCCTTGTAAATATTATTGCAAACTCAGTTATTGCTGTGATTTGAGATGGGAGGAGTGATGGATATGTGGAGACACCAGGCATCCATGATGGCAGTCATGATTTAGGAGATGGTGGTAGAGGGTGGTTATTTATCAGGGCTTTAGACCTTTCACAGGCAGGATCTATCAAACTGGTAGGATTTGGACATGTTCCCAAGGCTGGCTCTGAAAGTAGATCCAAGTGTCGTTGGAGTTGTAGTTTTAGCAGGATCCCATATTTCTTCCCCCAAAGTTCTCAGGTTGTAGAAGCAAGCATCCTTTGAGGGGAGGGTCCATCCCCTTGAAGGCAACCCTGAGTGTTCTTGAGAAACTCTGAATCCATCTGTGTGTCTTAGGGATATTAAGGTAAGACATGGCACCTCTATCATCCTGGAGTGGGTTGGACATATTCCCAGGAAGGGAAGTGCTTCGAGGATTTAGGTTAGTGTTATTCTCCTCTGGCTTAGAAAAGTTGCAACAGGAGAAGTTTCCCTGTGGTTCCCTAGACAATGCCTTGTATCCTCTGTGGGAGGCTGGCTTAGAGCCAAGGATAACAGGGGATGAGCAGGGCCTGTACCTCACTTCTTGGGGCCTGGTCTGATGGTCTCATGACATGAGTAAATTGGGGCTGACACAGGCTAGTAATCTTCAGAATGTGCCAGAGGTCTGGTTTGCTTTGAAATCGTCCTTTGGGGTCAGTATGATGAGGTTGACAGAGCCCTGGGTTTTGAGTCAGGAGACATGAGTTTGAAATCCAGCTCGGCTCTATAGTACCTGGGTAGGTCCCTTAACCGCCTTTGGCCTTCACTTCCTAATCTGTAAAGTCTAAGTAGGCTTACTTATAAAGGCTTACTATTTAAGTGCTTACTATGTGCTGGGTGCTGTGCTAAATGCTGGGGATGCCAAGAAGAAGGAGGAACGGTGTGGGTCCTCAAGGAGCTTATATTCTAATAACACGTACACAAAAAGGCCTATATATATGTATATATACATATCTTCTAGTTCAATTTATCTTACAGTAGAGGAAACTGAGGCTCAGACATGGGAAATAACTTGACCAGGGTGACAAAAGTCACCAAGGAGCAGATCTGGAGGGCTTTGAAGGGCATTTTCCCATGACATTGTCTCCTTCTACTCTAGACTTGATTCTTTTAGGTGGGGGCTGGTAACAGAGCCCTAAGAGGACACAGAGTCCAGGAGGAGGTGATTTGGGCTCTAAGCACTGATGTAGGAGTCAGGGGACCTGGGTTCTAATTCTAGCTCCAGCTACTTACTAAGTGATCTGTGACCTTGGGCAAAACCAAAAAACTTCCTCCCGCCTCAGTTTCTTCCCTCTTAAAATAACAGTCCCTTTTCAGCCCTTTTGCATATAGAATCTCATTCATTGTTCACACAACCCCAAAGTACATTTTTACAGATGAAGAGGTTAGAAGATTAGATGAGGTTCATTTACTGGCTGTGTGACCCTGGGCAAGTCACTTAACCCTGTTGACCTCAGTTTCCTGATATATAAAATGAATGGGAGAAGGAAATGGCAAACCACTCTCTTTGCCGAGAAAACCCCCAAGGGAGTCCCAAAGGGTCCAACGTGACTGAAATGACTCAACAACAGATGAAGAAGCTTAGAGATATTAAGTAGTCACCCTACATCACACAGTGGCTGAGCCAGTACTCAACCCCAGGTTTTCTAAAGGCAAATCCAGTGCCTTTTGAAGATGGCTGTGCCCGTGCCTTTATCAGTATAAGGAACTCCTGATAAACAACTTGCACCAATGGAGAACAGCAACTGTTCATAACTTGGAGTCTTAAAGTTACCTGGAATGAGAGGGGAAGTGACTCTCCCACAATCACTCGATCAACAAGCATTTACTACGTGCCTACTACGTGCTAGGTACTAGATACAAGTGTCAAGAATTATTCTTGCTCAAGAGCCCCAGTCAGAGCTCACATTATATGAGAGATATATGGGAGGGACTCATAGATGAGGTAAGTAAATACAAATATATACAAAGCAGTCAAATCCATGATCCTTTGGGAGGGTGGCATTGGTCAGTATGTGTCAGAGGAAGGGCTGGTTGTCTATCCACCAACATCACATGGCTTCTTTCCAGAGTCCTTTCCACTTCCACATCATGTGTACTCTGTTAACCTCACAAATCCATGCCCAGTACCCTCCTTCTGCCTATGTCCCTGGCTACACAGAGACTTCTACTATGACCCTTTCCTGTTTTTTCTCTCCCACTGCTTTTCCTAGCCAGTGCCCGGAGCTCTGGATCTGCTCTCTACAGTGTCTTGCAGATCTAGGACCTTACTGAGACATCACAGCTGCATGCTCCAATATGAGGTGACTTGGTGACTGCACAGCCGTGTGGGCCACCTACCATCATCTCCCCATGGGAGGTGGGAGATGTGCCCATCTTAGAGCCTAGAACCCTCAGGAAGTCAACCCAGCAGCTGGGCTGGCCCATCAGAGGTGGCTCTAGCAGGGGGTGACTGTTCACCTTCATCACCATCATCACAGATAAGGCGCATGTTTTCTCAGGGTGACACCCTTCCCCTAGTGCAACCTTTCTCCTCCTCCTGCAGCTATTTCTGTAGGTGGGGGAAAAATACAACAAACTCAATTTAAAATGAGCAGAGGCTTTATGTAGGCTGGTATATGCGTACATTTGGGGTAAATAAACATGAATCCACATCCAGGCATGTCTGCTCAAGTGCACACATATGTGTTAAGGACATTCAGGCACCTTCAATTTCTTTGAGACTTAGGAGAAGGTGGAGGGGCCATCTTTTTATAGTAGCAAGAATACTGGATTTAGAATCAGAGGTTCTGAGTTTGAATCCTGACTCTGCAGCCTCACTAGATCATGGATGTAGAGCTGAGAAGGACCCTACTGATGTTCATTCCAACTCCTCCATTTTGCAAATTAAGAAACAGGCTCTAGGAGGTTAAGCGATTTATTCAAGGTCACATAGTCAATGTCAGAGGCAGGATTTGAATCCAGACCTTCGAACTCCAAATCTAGTGTTCAAGCTATATGTTGCCTCTGTATTGGTATGATCTTGGACAGGTTCCTTCTTCTTCTCTCTGGGTCTGTTTCCTCTTCCTTGGAGGGGTTTCACTAGATTATCTCTAAAGTTGTCTCTAGCTTGAAATCCTGTCCTTAGATCTCATCAAGAGTCATTGGTTTGTCCTCTAATGCCCTGATGTAGAACTCAAATAGAAACAGGGGCCATTGGATCATACTTAAGGGGTCCCCATGGACCCCATATTGGCTCAGAAAACCACATATTCCCATTATTCTAGGTTTTATGTTTTTTATATATTTTGTTAAATATTTCCCAATTCCATTTTAATCTGATTTGGCAGCACTCAG